CAGTGCCATCAATGTCTATTGCATATTGTTTTATATCTTTGAGAACTCATGTTGTGGTATTATTTCTGATAAGTTCTCTTTCTTGCAGTTCTTTTGCTAAACATGTGTGAAAGTCAAACTTTAGTCATTTTTTCAGGATGTTGAAGATTCTAAACGCGAGAATAAGAAAAAAAAATTCCATGCAGGGAAGCTGGCCAATAGATTGAAGAAAGAAGATGCCAAGGTGAGGTGATGTTTCAATTTTTGTTTTTGTTCTTCTTTCAATTTGGTTATGTCTACTTTGATTTTAATACGATCTTGACTTCTATATGTTCATTTGCATCAGTAAAATTGGCAGACTTCTTTAAGTTTTTGAAGCTACTACAAGAGATTCATAAACAAATTTGTTTGACATTCAGATCAAGGAAGTGTATTATGGAAATAGTTTATAAGGGAGGTGACGATAATTCTGGAGACTGTGCCTTTTGTATGCAAGTGTTTTCGTTTTGTTTTGTTGTCATGAGTTGTTGAGAAGCTAGTGTTGATTTAACTGTTACTATGCATTTTTAAGTAACATAAGATCACCAAAGATTGAAAATTCCAATAATTATCAGATTCCAGTATCTGGCTGGTGCACTCAATAATTAGTCATCTTGCTAAGTCATAGACTAATCCTAGCTTTTGCTGGGGCTATATGTTTCTCATTTCCATTTGACACTTCAGAATATTTCCAGGTATTGTTGGCGGCAGGAGATACTTTTAGAGCAGCTGCAAGCGATCAATTGGAGATATGGATAGAAATATCAAAGGAACTTCAGAAGTTCAGGGGTCTGCCTATTTTACGACCATATATTGAACATTTTTCCCACTTGTCTTCAGAACTTGAGAATTATTTTTTTGCTTTGTTGTGACTATAAATTTCTCTCATAATTTTTGCATTAAATCCTGCAAGCCTTGGACGGGACAAGTCTAAACATGCTTCACAAGCCAGAGAATTTAATGATGTAATATTTCCTACCCCTGGAAATGTTAGTTCATTGTATTCTTGTTTTCTCAAGTGTTACTTACACACCTCACCGTACCAGAAATGAAAAATGGTTCTTAATTCATAGACCTTTATCACAGTCTGTTAAAGTCAAATTTATGTTAGTTATTTCCCCTCCTCTACTGCACTATAAATTTGTGCTGTTATTTGGCTTAATATTCATTTCTTGTTGCAAATATTCACTTCTTGTTCAGCATCTTGAATTAGCCATCGCTTAGAAGGTATTGTTAAAAGATCATCAATTTCTAATGAAATGGATGTAGTAGTAACTTGGTGGAAACCCAAAGTCTTTACTTGATCCAGAATGTGTTATGTATATGTCATTTCGAAGTGATCTATTAATCTACTAATAAATCGTTTCATGGCAATTCCATCTATCACTTTATTGTGAAAACTAGATTGGCATGTTCTACCATAAGTACCTCCATGTTCTACTGAGTATGATTCGACACAACTAACCTAGCCTCCTCTGTCCCTCGGGACCAACAAAGGGTAGTACGGGAATATTCACCTGTTTTACAGGCAAAAGATTTTATCATCTCTATGGGATTAAATCCCGAGTTACCGTGAAGTAAAAAAACTTATAAGATTATGGAAGTAAATATTCTTGCATTTATTGCGATTGCACTATTCATTCTAGATCCTACCGCTTTTCTACTTATCATTTTCGTAAAAACATTTGAATCACTGCTTTTTTTAACCCTTGCTCTTTCTTTGTTCGAGAGATGATTCCCAAAGAAATAACTACAGCCTCAGGTGGCGAAGAACCTATATCGAGGTGCCAAACCTTCCAATCAATGTAAGCTCTTGGGGAAGATTTTCTCCTCGGTCCACAGAGACAAAATGAAGAACTGGTGCCAATAGTTCATCACGGAAGAAATGACTCACTAACTCGGGATCACTAACTAATATCCTAAAAGCATTTTTTTTTTTTTACCGACGCAAAAAGTAAATATTTTGTTGCGAATGAACAAAATATTGAGGAATTGTGCATACATAAAATCAAAATTATACATACCTACCTTTTCCACAGAAAAGGGTTCTCTTTTATTTTTATTGATTTTGTATCATTTTTTTTTTAAATTTTATTTTCGTTGTAGCAAAATAGGATTCTGCTTGATTGAATTCACTCGACAGAATCTTATCAAAATAAGCTTAGAAACAGAGCTTCTTTTGATTATTCGAATGCCACATCCCTCTCTCTCCTTTTTTCACCCCTATGTTGCCACACGGGCCCCTCCAGTCAAGAATTGGGGCTTCACAATCACTAGCCAATAAGCTTTTCTTTTATGCCTTTCTTCACTCATGGTTTGATAATCTGGTGTCCTATGCATAGAGGAACCACACCAATCCATCTCGAACCCAATTGGAAATGATAACAGAATGCATTAGTCGTTATAAAAAGTTCTAAAATACATATACATATAGTATACCAATGAATTACCCTATTTCCAATTATTTGATAAGTATTTTGAACTTGGAATTGTCGTGATTTTCATTAATATTCATCATATAAGAATCTTCATAAACTGGGCCCCAAGCTTTTTATAATATGATAGTGATTTGTCATTATGTTCGACTATCTCCATTGTAGAAAGAGCCTCCAATTCTCGAAGGAGAATAGAAGAAATCATACTTTCATACAAAGAAAAAATGTGAATGGGGATTGGATTGATGATAAAATAGAATTTTGGGTTGCGAAGAGTGATTCAATTTATGTGAATCTCCTAATTGTTTTTGAGCAACTAGAAAGAGATTCTTTAACAAAAAAGAATTCGGTTCAAATGTAGGATACCTATCTAGAAGTTTTCACAACTCAATCATAGATAATGGAATCATCAAAAATTTGATCTTTTTGAACTTTTTCTGTAACTCACTAAAAGCCCAAGAAACAAAAAGAAAATATGTACGAACGAAATATCCAGCAACAAGAAGAAGGAAAATGATTGAGTAAGAGGAAATTCACTTTATAATGATTTCTAACTCTCCAATATCTGGTATGTGTTATTTTCCCAAAATTCTTGCAGGTTAGTG